TTTTAAAATAACATATTATTCAACCTGATCAGTCAAGAAAAGACACATATTTTAAAAGAACGTATTATTCAATCTGATTAGTCTAGAGAAGACATATATTTTAAAAGAACGTATTATTCAATCTGATTAGTCTGGAGGAGACACATATTTTAAAAGGACATGATATTCAATCTTGTCGGTCTAGAAGAAATAAATATTTTATAACTAGATAACATTCAACCTAAGCGCTATTCTGGTGAGTCTATCTGTTTCAGATATATTACATCATTAAATAAGGATGCTAATACATATACACCTTGCAATTTCCGTAAAACACCGGCGAGTATTGCTCTTAAGTTCTCTAAAGCTTGCGAGTAATCGATATGTTGATTCAAGTGAAAGATTTAGCAAGTAGGTGCAGCTCTATGACCTAAAAACTTTCATTTATTAGCACCAAAAGCACTCGTGTTTCATAGAATGCGAATAACAAAGAATGGGCCAATTTTATTAACATAAACGCAAACAGTAGTACATCAGTCTTGATGATATAACGCAAACAGTGGTATATCGGTCTTGATGATATCACGCATACAGTAGGAAATCGGGCTTGATGATATCACGCAAACAGTAGGAAATCGGTCTTGATGATATCACGCAAACAGTAGGAAATCGGTCTTGATGATATCACGCAAACAGGAGTACATATGTCTTCATGATATCATGCAAACAGTGGTATATCGGTCTTGATGATATCACGCAAACAGGAGTACATATCTCTTCATGATATCATGCAAACAGTGGTATATCGGTCTTGATGATATCACGCAAACAGTAGGAAATCGGTCTTGATGATATCACGCAAACAGTGGTATATCGGTCTTGATGATATCTCGCAAATAGTAGGAAACCAGTCTTGATGATATCACGCAAACAGTAGTATATCGGTCTTAATGATATCACGCAAACAGTAGTTGCCGAGTTTTAAGTGCAAAGTTACACAATGGGCTATCTGTACTCTTTCCATCCCGGAAAATCGAAACTTGGATTTTAGGGTTGTAATTCCAGAAACTTACAACTGACTCACCGGCAGACTCAACTTCTAGTATATCAGTTTTGGTAATATCACGAAAAGTAGCACATCAGTCTTCATGATATCACGCAAACAGTAGTAAATCAATCTGATGATATCACACAAATAACATAGTAAATCCATCTCAATCAAAGCATTTCGTACCGTCATTAAAAGAATACAAAATACATAGAAAGGCGTAAGATCTAAGACGTTAGATTGATACACACAACAGTACAAAATCATGTTGACTACTCAAATTTTATTTAACATTGGAAGAGAAATGTACATGAATCCAGAAGGACATTTAAATGAAAAGTTAAGTATTTTATTTCTATTTTTCAATTCGAATAATATATATTTAGATTTTCACTTTTATTGAACTGTATTTAGCTTGATCTGTAGAGATCAATTTAAGATATCTTCTCCAAATGCTGCATAAGGAATTATTTTGTGATAATAGTTTGAAATAATGCTAAATAAATGCTATTATTAAATGAAAAAATAATACTATGATATATTTCTCAATACGAATAATATATCTTTACGTACTCACTTTTATTGAGCTGTATTTAACTTGATCTATCGAGATCAATTTAAGATATAGTCTTTCCCAAATGCTGCATGAAGAATTGTGCGTGATAATAGTTTGAAATAATAGTAAATGTGCATTATAATGCGGTTATTAAATATAATTTTTTTTATTATGACATAACTTTTTTTCAAAGATGGGTATCCAACATAAATAGAAAGTGTTTGTTCAGAGTCGTATCGTTATAACTGACCAACTGTTTGGTGGTGTTTATGTTTCGTTGATTCTAGAGCGGTTGAAGTCGAAGAGGTTACGTCAACTGTTGAACTGCTTGATTCAGCACGTTCTACATTCTCTGACCAATAACACATGTTGTTAAGAGTATTGAAGAAAAGTCCAGCCCGGCAACTTTTTTGACGTATGGAAATCTTCTAACACAATGGTAAAAAATTGCAGTTTTTGCGATCAGTAGCAAAACACGCCCCCTTTATCTTCAACAATTCACAAGTGGTGTTTATTACACGTGTGACGTGTTGTTTTTTAGTTACAACAATTGTAGCTTTCATGTTTCTGCAGAAGTTGTTATGATTGTACGAAAAATCTGCTTCTGATGTTTTATTTGGTGATTGTGATTGATTGTCTCTAAACAATACGCTAGGTGAATAGTGTTGTTTCAATAGAAAATGAAAAATACACAGGAAATGTATTCTCATACATGATAAAAATAGCCTTGTATAAACTTGTTGTTCATACAGCACTCATTCCTTGATTGTTCTCATCATGATCTCGTTACATCACAGGTTAGTTTGCCACAAGTAAAAGATTGCTTTTGTTTGTTTGTTAGCCGAATGTTTTAGAATGACTTGAATTATTTCAAATGTTATCCGAGTATCTCAGATAGTAGATTCTGTACTTCATAAATAGAAATCTTTATTTAATGAATATTCAGCCAAAATAACGACGATGAACAGTCGTTTTAAAACCATGTAGGATATGTACTGGAGACTATTACATCGTGTTGTTCTTATCTTTTTTTTTAATCACTTAGGATATGTGCTGGAGACTATTCTGTTTAGGTCATTCTTAAACAGTAAAGGAAGGATCTTCCTTATAAGTTGGAAAGGAGGTCAGTTTTTATTCAGTATCTGATAAATTCCGATTTTTTTATACTTTTCTAGATAGATTAATTAGAAGTCTTCAGGAAAATATTTAAATTGGAAGAAATATTGCTTGACGAATGATATTCATTAAAACTTTTATCCAATATCCTTAATGAAAAACGTTTGTTTGTTGTTAAGCGCTAAGCTACACAATGGGCTATCTGTGCTCTGTCAGTCGCGAGTATCTAAACCCAGTTTTTAGCGTTATTGGCTCTTAGACTTGCAGCTAAGCCACCAGGGAGAAGTGATAAATATCATGCATAGATTCAGTTTGAAGCCTAATAATTAATGAAAGTTGCTTCATAGATATATAAACATTTAAGTTTCGAATTGTTATCAGAGAACACAAATGAACGGGAAAACTTATTTTAGTTAATCCATAGCCTCATTTCCAGACAAAGATTGTTCTTGATAATGTTGCATACTGTTGTTTGTGACACGTGGATGGTTTTTTTCCCACTGACACTTGTGTTCGTAGCTTTTCACACTTTAGCTGTGACACGACTTGTTGCAGGTCTCTTTCTGGAGAGTCCAAATTTCTCAAATTATTCCAAATTATTATTATTGTTTAATGCCATCAAATAACAGAGATAATCACATCTCGGAAATTCTAAAACCCAATCTGAACACATCTTTATGATCTGAATGTATGGATATTTTACGTCAGAAAGGATTGTTACATACCATTCCAAAAAGCAATAAATATTTTGGTGGCATCACCCTATTTACGTAACGCCAACTAATGTCAGAATGTAATTTTGGATACATGTCGTTTCATCATGACTTTATATCGGCTGATGTGTATATTCCAAATTATTTTAATATGACGTGTTGTTTAAAAGGTAGACACTTTGAACTCCATTTTTGTTTGTTTGTTTGTACTGAATTATTACATAGTTAATGTTTCAATTAATTAAAAGATTGGTCAAGAAAGATCTTTCTTTCGCATATATATATCATAATTGTTTGTAGTTAAGCACAAAGCTACACAAAGGGCTATCTGTGCTCTGCCCACCACGGGTATCGAAACCCGGTTTCTAGCTTTGTAAGTCCGCTAACATACCACTGTGCTCTTGGGAGGGGGGGGTAATTATATTTCTAATATCCAGTTAGTTGATTTTCTTATTTAATTGAAAAAAGCAATAAACAGGTAAAATCAATGATGAATCATTTGAATTTGTTTTCATAATTTTGTTTTTTAACTTTACTTTCCAAATTGTCCCCAGAGGGTTAAAGGTAAGATTACGAACTTAAAACCCGTGGTGGACAGAGCGCTGATGTAGCCCATTATGTATCTTTTTGTTAAAAGAAACAAACTTCCCAAATTACTCACATTTAAATGATTAACATAAATAGAATTTCTATTTCAAGAAATATAAATTCTACTAGACTATTTTGTGGCAAACTTAGATGATTATGATGTTTTTAAAAATAGCAGGCTTATAAAAATCAACTTAGAAAATAATGAAAAATTTCAGCATTTCTATGTGCATTCCTCAAGCATTTCTGTAAGTGAGACAACTTTAAGTCATTAATGGCTGACATTTTGTTGTTTTTTTTAAAGAGAAATCATTGAAGAACCAAACGTGACACAAACCTGGTGGTTGAAAGTATTTGTATTTCTCACCGTTCAGAGCGAAGCCGAATCCACAGGGCTTCTTTTTCTTTATACCATTATTTTCGTGGAATTGATAAAGGATGAACGTAAAGGTCTACTCAAAGATGATGATCCATTATTTTCGGGGAATTGATAAAGGATGAACGTAGAGGTCTTCCCAAAGATGATGATCTAGTAGCGTTTCATTCCCGATAATTTTTTCATATCTTTATTCAGTCACATGAAACAATACTATAATCTTTATTATTATTATTTAGGTTATGGCTTACCGTGTGTTCGTTCTTTATTTTAAGGTGTAAGCCCGTAACTGTGCTGTATTTTATAGGGTTTTTTTCTGTTGTAAGTTAATTTGATTTATAAATTTAGTAGCTATGACTACTTTTCTAACAATCTCTTTTTGTTCTAGTTGTTTCAGGAAATTGGAATTTACCTTTTATTTTATATTTGAATTATATCTTTGGATTAAAACTCCTGGTGTTTGTGAGAAGACATCGATCGTGTCTATCTAAATACAACCTAGTTCTGTGAAAACGAGATTTAAAAAACAAAAAACATTTCATAGCAAAATACGCACATATTCTCTCTCCTTATATTTCAGGCAAACAAATTTCGATATTTCGGATATAACTACTGTGAAGAAATCTAACTTCTTAGCCTTGCTAGAAGGTTCGATAAAATACCATATGCAGATCCTTTGTAGGTACCCCCTTAGCTTAGCCTTGCTAAAAAGGCAATTAAAATATTCTATAGAGACCTTGTGGAGATACCTTCCAGCTTATCTTTGCCAGAAAACTCATTAAAATAATGTATAGAGACCTTGTGAAGATACCCTCTAGCTTAGCTTTTCTAGAATGGTTATTAAAATATTATATAGAGATCTGTGAAGATAACTTTTAGCTTAGTCTTGCTAGAAAGATAATTAAACTAATGTATAGATACCCTTTGAAGATACATTCTGGTTAAGCTTTAACATAAAGGTTATTAAAACATCACAGACACATTGTAAAGACACCCTCTAGCTTAGTCTTTTAGAAAGGTGATTAAGATAAATGTGTTTGCTTGTTTGTCTAAAGTTAAGCACAAAGCTACACAATGGGCTATCTGTGCTCTGCCCACCAGGGGTATCGAAACCCTGTCTTGAACGTTGTTACTGGGGAAAGAGGACAAGCTTTCATATTAAAGGCGATGGATATTACTCAAAACAAGTAACTATCGAAACATGTGTTTGTCGTGCTTTGTATCAAGTTATATAATATTTAGGGCTTGTACCAAACTTTGCACTATTTATTTTTATTGCTCACGTTCCCGCTACAACAGAATAAGGAACTGCATTATATATGAAACAATTCGTTGCAATATTCGTGTACGTAGTGTCATGGGGCATTCCGAATTGGAAGTATTTATTATTAAACGTTCATAAACAAGTTGAAAATAATACACTAGGCTAGAGAAAAACGACGAGATGTGTTTATTTCTCACGTCTCTTTGATTATAGTATTCTACAATTAAGATTGAAAGTGACAAATACAGATAACAGAAGAGGCTCTTTGCGTATTTATTTTAAAATAGATGGTACTCCATCTGAATCCCATATGAAGTGTACTTTGTTAATGTGACCATGAAATACGAATATTTCTCACTATAAATCACTTGAAAAAACCGGTCTCATTGTAAAACATGCTTTAAAGTGCAAAATCATTGCAGGGTACAAACTATCTTAACATGGGCATTGAAGAGTGCAAGCTATCTCAACATGTGCACTTGATAGTGTAAATTGTCTCAACACGTAAATTGCAGAGTGCAAACTGTCTCAACATATGCACTGCAGAGCTCAAACTGTCTCAACGTATGCACTTGAGAGTGCAAATTGTCTCAACACGTACATTGCAGAGTACAAATTGCCTCAAGTAAATTGCAGAGGGCAATCTGTTTCAACACACACATTTAAGGCTGCAAACTGTCTCAACACGTGCATTAAAGAGTGAAAACTGTCTCAGCATGTGCATTGCAGGTTTGAAAGTTTGATATATATGTTAGAGAATTAGCATTTATTTAAAAATGATGTAGCGAGGTGAACATAAAACAATACTTCTGGGTGTTAAAGAACGTAGCAGTCACTATGGTAATTAGTTTTGTAGAAATTCAAAACAAAGGACGATAGCTTTGAGCAAACAGTAAAAATACAAATGTGCTTTTGATGATAATTTGACGATATAGATTGTAGAGTATGAAGCGAAGGTTCGTATACGCTTACTTGTATCATTTAAAATTATTGTACGTTACGAATAATTGTATCGGATACGAGAAATTCAATAGTAGCTAGAATAGCCGTTGGTGAAATGCCAGTAAATGATCAAGTCGTCTGAAGATTTTTATAACGTTTCGAAATATACCCGAAAGAGTACAAAAAAACCTCATCCTAACGTTATGATTTTTTTTTTCAAATAATAGGAACCGAGCATTACAAAGCACGTTGAAAATCATATTTACTTTGTGAAATATTCAAAGTTCGATCAGCTTCAGCAACATTGATCGACAATCGTCTATCACTCTCGTGAACACAACAATGTTAGTAATTTGAAATCCAGGAAGATCGTCTATATTGAAACTTGTGGAAAATCAATATGATTTAAAGGATATAAAATAATAAGATAGCACTTAAGAAAATTCACAGATAAACCGGTAAGGCTTATAACAGTAAAAACCGGGTTTCGATACCCGTGGTGGGCACAGCACAGATAGCCTATTATGTAGCTTTGCGCTTAACAACAAACAAACAAATAAATTATCACAGCAAAGCAGAATTTGAAGTGTATGTGCATCCACAGGTGGCACATGTAGTATCAGAAAAGCAGGACCGTATTAAGAAATAAATAAGGTATAAATTAGATACAATTTGTCATTTTTAAACTATAAAAATGAGAAGCTAGAAACTAGTTGTACTTCCGCAGGGTCCCCGAAAGTGTTCTACTTCAAGAGTAAATAAAACCAAAATTAAGAGTAACAAATCTTTTTATTTCTCGCTTTTGAAGATAATGTGTGTCGTGCTGTGTTGAAGCCTACAGAGTGCTTAATTCTTCTCGTGATTCATGCTATGCGCACGTTTTACTGACGTCACGACAGTCAAACTGCAACGTTAAGCGTTCCTTATGTGACGTCATTTTAGTGTCGCCTGACAGACTACTGTATACTGGTGCTATTGGTTAAAACAGTTGACCCCCTCCGGTCGGCCTTACTAGATGTAACGTTATAAAGCGGTATCCGAACCAGGCAAAATTATAGTAATTTACTATGCGGATAGGGACCCGCCAAATTAAAAAAACAACAACAAAAAACGTATGTAAGTTACAAGGATGGGTAGAGCGAGATCTGCCAAGCATTTTCCTGCAATTGGAAGTATTGAAGATTGTACTGATGATGGTCATCAATCAAACCAAGCCAAACACGGTAGGCAGTTCGCTAACGTTGTTTATTTCCTTTCCGCCATTGTCCTTTCTCCCACTACTCTTTTCATGATTAGGAACCTCCTTGAAAATATCCGGTCGGTACTTAGTTGTTGTTCTTCGCTTTATGGACCAGTAGTTACGGCGCTCGACTCGCAATCTGAGGGTCGCAGGTTCAAATCTCCGTCCCACTAAACATTATCGCCCTTTCAGCCGTGGAGGCGTTATAATGTGATGGTCAATCCCACTATTCGTTGGTAAAAGAGTAGCCCAAGAGTTGGCGGTGGGTGGTGTTGACTAGCTGCCTTCCCTCTAGTCTATCACTGCTAAATTAGGGACACCTATTGCAGATAGCCCTCGTGTAGCTTTGCGTGAAATTCAAAACAAACCAATCTTCGCTTTATAAAGTTTATTTGTACCGTCTCCTTTGCAAGAGATAAACCTTATCTGATCTCTTATACGGTTTACATTTTGGGTCACGGGTATCCCATCGTACACCCGTTGCACTGGTAACATTTCGAGTATTTTACAACCTTACACGTGCAGGTCAGCTTCGAAAATTACACCAAGGACATTTGTACGAAGTTCCGAACGACTGGTATAAGTAATTTTGAAGAACATTAGAACAACTGATGGCCAAAGCCAATTTTCAACGAAATGTCGCTCCCATTAACCCTACAAAAGCCACTGTAATTTAGTAAGTTCTTCTGTCATTCGAGATTGCCTTACACAAGATATTCTGGTTGAGAATGGTTTAGCGAACGCGATCTTGTTAAGTCAGAGATCGCTTATGATATTTTATTAATAATTTCAATGTTGAAAAAACAATTAGTTTTATGAAAGTTTAGACTTCTATGTTTTCATATTTGAAAAATTAACACGCGATTTCAACTACTGTCTCTTATATCCTGCCACTTACAGCTACTACAATGGTTTTGTTTACAGGCTCAACCACATTACTTGTGCTAACTATGAATATGCGCCCACAGTGGATCAACGGCAAGGGTTTCGATATTCGTGGTGGGCACACTACATATAGCCCATTGTGTAACTTTGCGCTTAAAAAATTGAATACGTCAAATCTGTCTAAATCTTAATTTCACAAAATTAGACTTTATTAGTCGACTTTAAAATTCATTATTTAATAAATACAAAGTTGTGACGGGTTATTAAAATATTTGAAACAATTTTTTCGATAACAGACTATTACAGCACCTTGTTGGATTTATGTAATCTTCCATTTGTTTTTTAAACAATTATAAGTCACCATTGTTGTTAGCCCGTGTTTCAACTTTAGCGAATCAATATGAACATGTTCTGATTTGTTCAAAACTAAAACAAGGTGGTTTTCATTTTTAGTTTCTTAAAATTCGGAGTATATGACATCTTATCCATTGTGATGGATTTCTCAAGCAAGGAATTAATTAATAGAAGTAAGGAGATTTTGATAATTGTAGCCACAGTGAGTACAATGTCCTCTTGTGAAAATTTCTGTTGTTATGGACCTAAAGTTGAACTTGGAAAAGTAGGCACTTTTTCGTTGAAATGTACAGCATCAAACACCATACCAGCCTTGAATCTTAGCCAAACTTTTCTAGAAACTGTGCAACTTAAGGTAACTCATAATTTACCTGCCCAGTTTTTAATTTTATTTACTTGTTTAATTGATTTTCGTGGCGATTAACAAACTACTTAAAAATATGCCCTTTGGCTCCTAGTGTTCAGTCTGTCAATGCAATCATTCTGTGCTGTGAGTCAAATGAAAAGCCTTATCTTCACCCAGGTTGTAAAATGTAGAAGTTTTATACAAATCTTTCACTGTCTAAGTTTATCAGTAATATGTTGCCAGTACTGAAACTTTACATACTAAAATATAAGTTATTATAATTATTTCCACACGCACACACATATATCCCTAAGCAAAATATCGATTGTTCGTTGATTTGTTTTTAATCTGAATTTTATATATTCTCAGGCTAACTACTGAGCCACTAGGCGTGAAGGAAGAGGGGTCAGATGCCAAAATATGTTTCCATGTTATAATGGGAGAAACAAAATGAATGCATAGTATCCATCTAAAATTCCAGTATGATAACTTTGGGTTAACATCTTTATGTCGTACTATGCACAAGAGCAGAAGTCAAATTTTCGTAGTTGTGTAGTTTAAACTGTAATGGACTAAATGTCCTACGAGGGTTACGAAGCTACAAAATAATTCCAAGCTCCATAGGTGTTTGAACGAAGACTGAAATACGCCACTTTCTGAACGCGTGTAGTTGAAGTTGAAATTTTACATTATATGAGAAAGTTGCTAGGACAACAACTATAAAAAAAAATGATTTGCATTCTCTGTATCGTATTGGACATTCTTTATCGCCTCGTGATCACTACCGAATCGTCTTTTTCTTATTGCAGTCGTCAAGTGTACTCAGGCCTAGTACAGGAAGGCAACGATTTTCTGGTAGTAATGAAAATACTTTGATTAGAAACATTTGTATCACATTATCAAATGAAATTAATGCTAATTAATTCATACTCAAGCCCAGTACAGGAAAGCAACGATTTTTTGGTAGTAATGAAAATACTTTGATTAGAAACATTTGTATCACATTATCAAATGAAATTAATGCTAATTAATTCTGCCCTTTTTATAGTCGTGAATTAATTTCCTGTGTGTGTGAATATTTTCTGTTGTAACATCTGGCTTATTTAACACCCAACAGAATAAAGAAAGATGACAAAAAATTTTTATTTTCCGTTTATTTTCACACAACAGGATTCAGATAGAAAGAAAACAATACATATTGAAAAGAGTCACAAAATGACATAAAAAACGAACAAAACATTAATAACATGATACTACTGGTTTGTAAGTTAGGCTTGGTCATTCGGGAAAGGATGTCTTTCTCCCACACACACCAACGAGTTGACTTGTTATTCTTCTTTATTCTCCTTTTGCACTTAAGAAAATACATTAGCATAAGTTTACAGCGGTGAAAAACAAAAATAGTGTTTTTCATGTGTATACTGGACATAATATTGCATTTATAATTTGAGACAAAAAAATAATATTTCCTAATATAATCGCATCAGCAAACAAATTGCTTCTTCCTTAGAGTGTTTTTCTTCTTCAGGTTTTATCATACTGTAGCTGTATTTGTTTGCTATTTGTTATCCGTGAGCTGAAAAATATGTTTATGATAATCATGTAATACGGTAAAATTATTTTTAAACGTTTATTTAGAAGAAACCACAGAACTGGGAAGAAAGCAGAAATTTCAATAGTACACCCTACAATGTCCAACGAGCTGCCACAGCTTAGAACAGCGAATTAAAACTTCAACTTTTAAAATTGGGAATCATTTGAACCACTTCCAGTTATTGTCTTTTTTTCTTTTTTTTTACTGCTCATCTTTCAAAATAACTCTTCAATATTATCTGCTAACATTTATTATGAATGAAACTTTACTGCTTAAAAATCATTCCATGTGTCTGTTCGCAAGAAAAATAATTATCTGATGCGTAAAGCCTATGCGCACTGAAATTGTGAAAGAAAGAGACATAGCAACGTTGTCAATACGGTCAATAATTACTTTAGCAATTTTCTATCTTAGCGCGTTTGGAGGACAACTTTAACAACATTTCCCATCAGGAAGTCCAAGATTAAAATCAACAAAATGCAAGAATAACGACACAAAAAACTAATTGTGACATATTGATAGCAGTTTGAATCACATCAAGAATAAATCACAATGACTATAATAATGTACATATTATCTCTACATCCAGATTTTTGGTTTTACTGAGCCCCTACACGCTGACCTAGAAAGTAAAATTCGCGTATTTGGCACACACTGAACAGTAACTACTAAGCGTAAAAAGCAAAAACAACATATAAACTTACTTAAATCTTTGTAAAATAACATTTTCAATATATTACAGTATTTTTTATTTCCATAAAATATATTTTGTGAGTTTTTG